CAAACAACCAAACAATCAAAGAACTAAACAACCAAACAACCAAACAATCAAAGAACTAAACAACCAAACTGTTATCGGCAAGATAACTTACGTTTGGAAATAAACCTACCTTTTACAGTTGTTATATTACTTGTGATGTTTCCAACAATATTCGATGCCCTGCAGTAGTATTCTAATGTTTTATTTATACACTCTTCATTCTTTACTTGTAAGGTTTCATTTGCCTCATAAATGACGTTGTTGTTCGTCGCATTATGCCAAGTAATAATTGGTCTCGGTATCCCTGTGGCTTTACAGTTTATTCGAACGCTTTTGTTCTTCATGTTAATCAGAGTATCCCACTTGGTTGTTATAATTGGTGGTTCTGTGATTATCGTATACATAAATATAAGTATATTTACGTAAGTGTTACTAAGGCCTAGGGCAAGCGTCGATTTTTCCATGCACCGAACTTAATTACATCAAAGAATGCCGCCTCATTATCACCTGATATCCATTGTTTTTAATGAGTTCGGTGCATGGAAAGTTCGACGCTTGTCCTAGGTCTTAGGTTGGTACCACCGTCATTACAGACGAACTGTTTCAACATTTTTTTTTTCATTGGCATTAATCATAGCGAAAGCGGTTGCACCTGCGTATTGAAAAGCTATAATGCAATTGTCTCAACATGATAAGTAATAATCATTAGTAATATTCCTAATAAATATGTCTTTTATTTTTCTTCTACAAGATCAATAGCCTATGAAGTATTTTGCTGAGGGAGATGCGTCTGCCTTACAGATTATTTTGAATGTAGCATTTGATATTGTAAATGTCATGTTCGATATCAGCACTGTATTTATTGGTTTATATTCTACATAATAATAATGGCAAGATACATATATCAAAATCACCAGGCCATATACAAAAAAAAAACAACTGTGCAGTGAACAATATCATGCCTATGCTTTCGTAGTCTCATTTAATTCCTGACGCGATTACCCATTTCGATCTGCTAAGGAAGCACATTAAAGGCCCTGACAAAAAGTCCCAACACTTGACCAAAAATATTTTCACCCAAACGTTTAGGCAATATTTCGACCCACCATTGCTGGCAGACCATGAAAATTGGTTCCAACATTCGACCCAATAGTTTTTTGAGCTAAATGTTGGATAATATACTGGGACATATTTCCTAGGGTCTACATTCCTTAATGCCGAATATGCAAATGTTTATATAAATTGCAGACTTAAGTACGATCGATCTCTACCTTCATGATACTAGTACTGTTTACTCTACCTTGCGCCTTGTTTACTATACTGATATACTGGTCTATCTGCTGATTACATTTAGCCAATAAGGTGAGAGGCGACATGTAAAGTGCATAGACCCACAGTTTATGTTTTCAGCAGATATTTAGATGAATAGCAACAAGTTAGCTCATTCAAGGATAAAATACTCATTTAAATAAGCTTTATTTTTATGGATTATGACTGGTTTTCATTGCTTGGTTGATAGTTGGTTTCTCGTTTCATTGTGACTTTGTTGTACCAAATACTGAAGAAATAGAAAACGCGCGCGCGTGCTGTGTGCTGTCATAAAGGGGGTTTGCAGAACACAAGAGAAGTGTTAGGAGAAGCACGACGAGTAGCGGAGTGCTTCTGGACACTTCTCGGGTGTTCTGCCAATCCCCAAGTGCTTTATGGCTACCCTCATCACAGCAAGCAAGTTTTTTATTTCTTTTATAAAATACAAATAATAGGGAATGACGCAACGGAAAGTGCGCGTGCGTGCAATGTGCTCTCATAAAGCACGCGCTGCAAACCAATCAGAACGCGACATTCATAGCAGTTATTTTATGATGACAAAGATRTTAAGACTGCAATATATCATACAATCTTTTGTGGTATACACGTTCACTACTATATCAAGCCTGCATACCTGTTACTTGAATGGACGTACAATTAGTCTCATTCCCAAAACCGTTTGACACGTGACAGCAATACTTTCCTCCCGATCCATTACCAGTGATGTTGAATGACGTCACACTGGAATTGGCAATTGTTCTGTTGGTATCCATATGTGTCCATGTAACACGAGGTGCTGGATATCCAGATGCATTACATCTTAATGTTATTGAATCTCCTTGATTACCAGACAGGTGTGAGGTCAGGTAGTTGATACGAGGCAAAGCTAAAAATAAAAATACGGAGAAAATAAACATAGGTCTTGCTCATCCCAGTCAAGTGTTATAGCCAAATTCAATATTCTGATAGAGTTTTTGTAGAGGCTGCAGTATGTACAAAACACTGCTGCCAGGCTGGTTACCTTATCACGCAAATCTCAGCATATCACACCCATTTTAGTACAGCTGCATTGGTTGCCGACTGAGCAGCGTATCGAATTTAAAATTCTTCTTTTTACGTATAAAGTTATCCATGGTATTGCGCCAAAGTATCTCTGCGACTAACTTGAGCCTTATGTTTCTCAACGCTGTTTGAGATCTGGTTCTAAGAGGTTACTCAAGGTTTCAAATTATAATCTAAAGTCGTATGGATACCGCGCTTTTTCTATTTCTGCTCCAATGCTTTGGGATGCCTTGCCACTGCAAATTAAATGTAGTACATCTTTAAATATTTTCAAGAGTTATCTCAAAACATATTTATTTYGMAAAGCTTTTCATTGATCATTCGTTAAATCTTATTGACTTTTAGATTACATAGTTTTTTGAWTTTGATATTACAGATATTGTATGTTATTATTAATTATTGTCATTAATTATTATTTGTTTGTAAAGCGCTTTTGGACATTTTAGGAAAGGGCACTAAAAAATGGCTAAACCAGAATATCGAACGTTGACTACTAAAGCGATTGGTAAAGTTGGCGAATATTAGTTTTTTTGAAGTTTTGTTTAATTTATTTATACTCGATCCATGATTTGGCTTTGTGAATTTCTGAATGCTTTGTTGTGGATTTACCTAACTATTACTAAGTCGTTTGTCTTCATTCATTTGTTTTGACGATATAGTAAATTGTTTTATGTTAGTATCCTGAACATTGATTCAAAAAATAAAGCTCAAGCCAATTTCAGCAAGTAAGCGCTGGTGTCAGAATAACTAAAGGCGTAGGTCTTAAGAACTGAACCTAGGGTTTGTTGTCCATTAAACATGCTGGGGTATGCAAAAATAAATTCAATATTTAACAATTATTCGCCGAAGGCGAAGTGAATATCGGGGAATAATAACCGAAACGAGGTTGAGGTTATTATTCTCGATATTCACTGAGCCTGGGGTGAATAATTGTTTTAGTATAAACACACAGGTGATTCTTTCAAAAAAGAAAGAAAAAAGAAGAAGATAAGAGGCACATTTAAAATTAAGAAACAGCAACAAAACGGCTGGCGCCGCCATTTTGGAGTATCGCTGGAGGTGATTATATACCACTTATTAACCAAGAGTGAGGTCATTACAGGAAAATCTCAGACCGAGGTCTTGAAAAGCCGAGGTCTGAGATTCCCCTGTAATGACCGAACGGACGAGGTTAATAAGTTATTTATTATATGGCCTTATTTAGTGTATTTTTAATAAATAATATACCTAACTATGAAAACCGGAAGTAATTTTTAACATCCGCTTGCGCACGCAAGGTCAAAGTTGAGGTCGTGTTCACTGAGCCAAGCGATCCTGGCGAATTTATTGAAATTTACAGAGACGGTTTTGTTCAAAGCGAGAACATTTTTGTCTTTATTATGGCAGGATCTAGGAAAATGCGAATACTTTAATTTCACAAAACACAGATACCTGTGTTTACAAGTGTTTGAACTCTTAAAAACTCAAAAATTTAGAAGAAAAATAGACCCAAATTGTCAATGAATTATGAACACGTGCGGAGAACTTGCAGTGATTTCAGTGAAGTGTTATTCTTCGTCGTCGCTCTCAATAACATAACGTCGCTTTGCACCTTGTTGGATTAACTTAACTGGGCCATTGAAGATCTGGAACTGACATTGAGAGATACTGCTGATATTCGCTCCAGGAAAAACACCATTTAAAGCTGCTGGGTCGCTTGAATTATTCACAGCGAGCGAATTCGTCGTGTTTTGGAGACTCAGGCTGCTATGTGACTGCTGTGAATTCGTTATTAACTGGCCACTGCTATTGTCTGGAGGAGCAGTTATCTGTTTGGAATTTTGCGAGTGACTTGAAGAACTCAAAATTAATGTACGACATTTGTCRCTGATGGTGCTCATTTGCTGACTTGTATGACTGGAGGCTTTGAAGACTTTTGTGACCGCTTAATTGAACCACAAAAGTCTCTGGGGTATTTGCATCTAAAAATCGGCCAGTGCCAGTCTTCCTGACGCTGTGATTTGTGACTTTTGCTCCTTTTCTTTGGAGAATGGCTTCGTCTGCGGCTATTTTCAAGAATTTACCGATTTCATTCTTGCCTAGGGGCGCCTTTATTCGGCGGTCGCCGTGTCGTACAGCAAGAAAGAATGGAGCATCTGGCTTGTTCATTTCTTCGGGTCGATGGCTTCTGAACAGCTTATAAAACTGAACAGGACATCTCTCCGTGTTTGTGGCGTATGCTTTTGGTGAGAAAGAACGCCTGTGACCATTTTCTTTGCCGTTACGTGTCTTGGTGCCCCGCTCATTCAGCTAAACAAGCATTTCGCGGCCATCTTGGAGAGGATCTGTCTGTAAGGAGACGTCTCCCCAGCACAATTTACGGCTCTCGTCGCGGTCTCTAAACCCAAAATGCAGGGAAAGAATCCACCACATGGTTCTCTGAAGGACTACGAGATTTTCTGCACAAAAGCGCCATTCTGATACAGCTTGTCTTCTTCTTCTTTGGTCAACGAACGAGTCGCGTTAGGACGGTTCCCTTTGCCTTGTTCAACAAGGTTTTTACGCTTGGTTTCCAATACTTTTCTAGATAAAGCAAACTCATCGTCCTTGAGGATGTTCATCTTTGACCTGGAATCTGACAGAAACCTTTGGATGCTTCTCTGCAGCCCAGTCAAACTACTTGGCTCGTATTCCTCGCCATTAACTYTCCTGATGTTTTTGAAGAACTTTCCAAGGAGGTGGTCAAGCTCTTTTGGTGCCAAGTCCAAAATCTGAACATTTGTCTTGTTTATCTCCCCAAGAAAACGGTAAAAACACTTCATATCACTTGCCGTTTTTTTCACAGTGTTCTCATTTTTCTGTTCTTGCACAAACTTTAGCAAATCTTCTTGACTGTTATTGATACTGTCGTCTCCGGTATTGGTTACTTCAGCCATGTTGTTTTGCTCACTTTTTGCCTCTTCTTCCTCTGGATAGTAAAATTCGCTTTCGCTGTGGCTCTCTTCGTCGCTCATTGTACACTGAGAAGTATCTTTAAGATATACAAAAATTTTTTTTCCAGTTATTGAAAAAATAAATGTATTTTGTTTATGTTTTCGGTTGATTTAATGTTTGGTTTCGTAGCTTTTGATCGCAACTGAAAAGAGCCGTGAATGAGGCCGAGAACAATTTCCGTTATGACCGATCATTACAAGAAAATCTTGCTCGCTAAGCACGTGCCAATGAGAGCGCGCGAAACATTGATGCCATGTAATAACGTGTGATAATCTGAGTTTCTCGACCAATCAGCGCGCGAGATTTTCAATAATCATCCGTGTATTTATACTAAAACGTTTTACTCTCCTATGAAGCCAATCTGATTCTTCAATTAATCAAGGGAAGGTCAAAATTGGCCGCGAAGCACAGGCACTGGAAACCAAGTAAATACCTAGAGAATTTTTAGTATCTTTGCGGCCTGACTTTGCATTTGATTTAATTAAATTATTTTTGGGGTTTTTTTTAGTATCATTTGGACATTTTCCGCTCTTTCAATAAACGTTAACTATTTCTCAGACCGGATAGCTAGCTTTGTCCTTCGACAATGTATGTACGCTTTAAAATATCACTACCAGCCTTCACTGTTTGGCATTCCTTTAAATTATCTTCAATGTGTATGGGCGTTTGAAGAATATAGGTAGGTTTTGAACATTTTCATTCTTTCGACGGAATTGGATCCTAAATGTCTTGTAATCTGCGAGTCATATTGAAAATTGCCATCCACAACATTACAAATGTAGACAGACTGTCAATCACTTTGATGGATTTTGTCCTATATCTAAAAACCACATGTAGATCGCTAACGAATCTTCTACAACAGCTCCGTCAAAACCCAAGAACAGTGGAGGCTATGACACATCAAAGCCAAAATCTGGCGCATACGCAGACAAATTTTAATCATTTACATATATTATTCCAGCATACAATGTCGGTCACATAGTGCTGTATGAAAAAAAAACCCAGTTTACCTTGACTGACGTAACAACATTACTCAAGCAGGTGATAAAGAATTCGGAATTGTTGAATTATCAACTACTCACCATATATGACGAGAAATGTGCAATTCACGTCTGATATATAATCACAATCAACATCGCAGCAATATGATCCACTTTTATCTCTATCAACATCAGGGATGATAATTGTCACATTTGATCCACCAATAACAGAGAAATGAGAAACTACATTTTTCCTTGCAGAATAGTTTTGTTTATTTGCGTTTCGAGAGAATAGATGTCTAGTGTTATAATAGATTCTAGAGGAACCAAAGTCATTACATTCGTAATGCCACTTGATGTGAACAGTAGAGCCAACATGTCCTTTCGTCCTCTGTGAAGGTTGTAAAGTCCACTTGAACCCATCTGTTGGACACAATGTGTAAACATTAAATATTGGCATTAAATTTATATGCCATATCTTTACTGGGATAGCTGTGATAGTCCAGTATTAAAATGCATTGGTTGTTTTTTCCGATTCTTACTCAAAAAAATGGATTAGGGGGTACCCAGTATGCATTGCGGCATCGGTCAATAGGGATCTTGATTGGTTCAGACTTCGACAGCATGATAACGTGTTGTTTAAGCATGATTGACGCTGTCATATTCCAGATTCACAGGGTCACATGACTGATCACGAGGAGGTTTAGTTACAAAAGGAGTTTTGGATTCTTCCCTGCTGAGAATACGACTGCCATTTTTGAAATGGCTAACATACCTTATCTGGCGCATCAATGTGAAGATTAAAAGCTCGAAATATTGTACTATGCATAACGTAACACTGTTTAGTAATGGGAATAAACGCAAAGCCTGCAACTWTTTAAGAATTACAGGGATAACAGTTTAAGGGGTAACTTAAGAAAATAATTTTCGCTGTGAAACATTCATTTTTATCTTTTGGTTAACAATGCAAACTTCTACAACTGTATGTACTACGTTGAGTCTGTGCGTAATACAGGCAAAGTAGTGAACGCCTATAGGACATCTTGTTTCTTTTAGGTCAGGTGCAACCTTTACAGTACATGTAAGACATATGAAAGTCGTTGAAAAAAACCGTCAAAGTAGATCAGCATACAGCAATCACATAACATATTTCGATGTCGTTTTCTAATGCATGGCATGCAATGCCTACTTTATCAACTGGTATTATCGGAAGCTCACCTGAACTACATGCACGCTGAAACAAGCCCCCTCCACTCCCCCCTTCCAGGTATCCCAGTCTACCCAGCCCACAGAGTCTTGTTGATACAAAGATAACATTTAATTAATTAATTGCTAACGTTGATAGAGTTTAAAGTATTTTTCTTCCATGAAACAATTGAAAGCATAAACACGACGTATAAGTAGTTGATGAGTGTTAGAGAAAAMAAAAGTCATTAAAGCTCTTAGTTAGGTTCTGATTTTAAATAAGTTGTGCCTGAGAAAATCAAAAAGACGTTTCTAATCAGATTCTTCAGGTATTCAACTATTATTGATTGATTTCGTTTGTATCGTTTCGTTTGTACGAAGGCAAAACTGGGTACAAGCTTAGTATCTGCGAACTCAAGAACAACAGATTGATGTTTGCACGGATAGCGTTTAAGTATGTTTAACCGTCTCAAGGTCTGAGGTCAACAACGAGGATGCTTTTGGTATAGATATTTTGTCACTCGTTCCCAGATCGTTGTTTCCTCCTAATGGCACAATGCTTCACTGTACCTACAATAGTGGATCGATGTCTGAAAAAAGGTAGAGTAATTCGAAAAMGATTCTACGATGCAASTTTGCAATCAGACGCACCTTCCAACACACATTAGTTTGTACCCATCTAAAACCTGTTTCTGATACCGAATGTTACTCGAGGTAGTGCGATTTCCTATATCATTTACGTTAACTTGTTACGAAAAAAAATAATATATATATATATATATACATATATATACACCTAA